CACCAAAGGAACCCCAATACCAACCTACAATCACCCTGCTGCTGAATCCAAAAGAAAGAGTTCTTTGTACAACACTCAATTAAAAATTACTTCAGGGCCAGAAATCTTACTCATTTTCACATATTCAAAATGAATAAACATTGAAAAATGTCTCCTGATTCGTCCAATGCCAGAAAACACTTAGTGTAATTCTGTAGTTTGAACTCTTGGAGGTTATTTCATCTTCTTGGTTTCCCTCAGTAACTGTTCTCCCTTTACCTCCAGGTCCACTGCTAATATTAACGCCACATACTAACAGCACGAGAGTGGCAGAACAGGATCTCTTCCCCAAACGATTCTGAATCTCTCAGTTTAACAGTTTCATACTGGATTATGAACCAGTTAAGTCATGAAAACTGAAGTGAACCATAACGTGTCTCTGTCACACCCCGGAACATTGCAGGTATCAGGCAGTGAAATGACTGCACGCAGTATTCTTAGACGGTGCCTTCCCCTCGGATCTCCTCAGCAGCAGTGCTGAGTCATGACATTCTCGGACCCTTCCGTTCTGCTGAAAACGAGGATCAATTCACCATTCAGCTCTTTGCATTTGGCTCCAGTGCCCATAAGCAATTTAGCAGAATCTGCAACAGAAGGGCCTGTTCTCATCGCAGAGCAGCTGATTGTTATAGGGCCCACTTACATCATGGACCTAAAAACTGTTGCTGTACACCTGAGAGCAAAGAAGGGCATCAAGTCCATTAGTCACCTGTGCCACGGAAAAGAGGGGAAAAAGGTATATAGAACTGCATCTCCATGTTGAACCGAAAGGTGCTACATAGATACATGTCACGAAATTATTACTAAGATCACTTCTATCTCATAAAACTTGAATGTCAAAATATGACAGTATATTTGCAGCCTTAAAATTCAATTATCACCACACCTAGTTAGTACGTGGCAGAGTCTCTTTCACAGTCACAAGAGCTTCCCACCTGCTAATAAAAATTATTTAAATGAATAGCCACTAACAGAAGCCAGAGAATGTCTGAGGGAAGGCTGTCACCTCTTTCCACTTGAGCACTGCAGAGTTTCAGACTTCTGATACAGCATGTTCACACACTCGCCTAATTCTGAGCGTATTTTCAAAGCGTCTGGTTTCAACCAAGCCACACATTTCCTACAGATTCTAGCTCCGTTTCATCTGCAGAGCTCAGGCCTTCCAAAATTCAGCAGCATACAAATGCCGTGCAGGTCGTATCTTGCAACTCAACTCCCTGCTCATGTCACTTTTCTGTTCCACGCGTACAGCACAGTTTTTCGATAAAATACTCCTCCTAAATATGTTCAGCAGTAGTTAACCAGATCTCAGGAGGCTCGATATCCCTCTGCTAACACTGACCTTGCCTGGGAGTTAATCCCATCGCTGCAAGTGGTTTGGCTACGCTTCTTTAAAGGAGTACCAGAGGAGCTGGTTTGAAGATCCCTTTAGTAACACCAGAACAACTTCACCTATTTCTACAGCGCTAAACCTTGTTGTTATCAGACATTGACAAAATTTCATGGTACTGAAATTATGGATATCATATGTGTTACTGATTCAAACTACATTTACATTTATTCTTTGTCTATAATAAGTGAAATATGTTTAAAAAAAAAACAAAACAAACCGCACTGCTTTATAGTTCTACAGTGCTGACACTTGTACAGGCAAAGGTACTATAACAGAAGAGGCTAATGACTTGGTTTTTCTAAATGAGGCAGAGAAACAATCTTAGCTTGCACAAGTAGTTTTACTGAACAAGCAGGGTTCCTCATCACAGAAAAAGCTAGTTATACATACGTAAATATTGTATGGCAAACTGCTTAGTAACCAAATCTGTGCTTTTCAGCAGATTTTTATTTTGACATTTTTAAGATACTATCAAATCAGCTTGAAATTGCTTTTAAAACATATTTGGATCTTTTTGAAAACCAAATTAATACAGCCAACTGTCTGATAATTATATTCTGCCTAGGTTCTGCTACATTGTAATGCTTTCATGTTGCCCAAACAGAGTTTGCTTCAGGACAGTTTTCACTTATTCCTGAGAGAGTCTAAACCATGGTACCACCCATGCAGTGCAACAACCCAACACAATGCATGCTTCCCAATTCAGAAATGATGTGCTGAATACTCTTGCGATTTATTTAACTTAAACATCTAAACCCTTAGCCGGGGATTTCTGACCTTTTCAACTCACAGATCCCCTTAGCGGTCTGCAGCCACGCACAGAAAAATTATTTCTAACACAACCAGACTTGCTTCTTTCAGTTACTTCCCGCAGACTCCTTGCTATTACTTCACGGACTCAGAATTTCTAAAAGCAGTACTGCAGACTAACTAATTACCTAGAGCTGGCTGGTAACAAGAGAGATTAAATTAATAGATGCAGTAGACGACTGGGATTTGAGAAACAATATTCCATACTTCAACTCAACAGCATAAAGATCATTTGTTGCTTTGAACACAATACATTTCCTTCTTCAGAAATAGCAGCAACGAATAACAGCATAGAATGAAAAAAATACATCGAGTAATTTTATTCTGTCACTGAAAAAAACCAACCATGTCACATTCCACAAATTAGGATTAAACAGACTGGATTTAAACCAACATTACAATAGTCTGGTCTTTATAAAATCTGCTACTGCCATGTCGGGGGAAGTGCAAAATAAGTGATCTACATGTGGGCTTGCCAGGTGTGAGGGAGGTAAGAGAATCCACATTGTAACCAAAACCTTCCAGCAGCATCAGCAAAGTGCATCATCAGAACAAGAAAATAACATATTTTTGCAGTGATACCGTAGCCTCGCAACCAATTTTTATAGCTGTTTTTAAAGACGACTTTGCATACACTTGCTGGCTGGTGACTGGTTTTGGCTGGCTTGCACAGTGGTGGGAGCGTGCTGGAGTGGGTGACATGCTAGCTCTGTCTCCGCGTGCTTCTGGAAGGGGGAATCGGAAAGACAGTGAACAGAGAAACGGGAAGAGCTGGGGAAAGGACTTAGGAGCCTCAGAGCGAGCTGTTATTTTGTTTCGAAACCCAACATCCATGCATGTCTACGCATGAGTTGAGCAGTCATTGAGAGAAGACTCATTCACAGAGCACGAGGTTACGAGCGCTTGCAGAGGTCTTCCCCACTTTTTCAAAGAACTGTAGTAGCGCTCTGGGAAAAAGATGGCCTGCAGGTTCGTCACGAGTTAGAGGTAATGATGTGGTTAGGAGTGAGTCTAGAACAAAGACACGGCCCAAGCCCAGCCCTCGGGATCCAGTATAAGATGAAATACCTGATTGATCTGTATGGCACCTTGCGCTAGCTCGGGACCAGCCTGCAGCTCACAAATTCCGCAGACGAGCGAGACGACTGTGCACCAGGGAGGAACGAGCGCAGGCCTGGCAGACCAGCAGCTCTCCCGGGGACTGCGGCCGACAAGTGAAGGGCATGACCGCGCCTATGGACCGTAGACAGAGAGTGACGGGTTTCAGATACGCGATATGTTTAAGGAAGCTCTTTAAACTGTTGCCCACTCTAAAGCAAGGTTGGTGAATGCAGCTTTTCTGTTCATTGGGAGAGGCCTCATTTGCAGAGACTTACTCAAGCAACCGGAGAGGGGTTTAGTTTGTCTCCTGAAGGCAGGGCATCACCGGAGATGCGGTACTCACCGGAGGATCAGTGGCCAGGCAGTGCTCGCCCGATGACCGCAGGGACACAGTACAGCGAGATCCAGCTGCGTGACGGCCCACCGTGCATTCTGGCAAGAAGAATTTAAGTAGACTTTAGCCTCTGGCTAAGCTGTTCGGGAATAACAGAATGCTGCTTACAAAACTTATTTCAAACCCTTTTGTCTACCACAGCCCATTTCCCCAAGTACTATGTTTAAGCCAGGCTTGTAAACAAGAGGGTGTAGGAGAAAGGACCCACATGCCACAACTACCTGTGTAAATACTGAGAGTAGCAAAGAACTGAGTAAGGTATAAACCCAGAGATGCAGGGTGCCAAAATAACTGAGGGCATTTTCTCGAAAGGAATGTCTGACAGATGGAAAGCCCAAGGAACGACTGCTGCGGACCAGGGACACAGAGGGGCCGGGGTGGCCTGGAAAGGGCTGCCGACCCCCAGGGCCGCCATGGCAGGCAGGCAGCCCG